GACTCGCCTGGACGCGAAATTTTCTTCTGAATCGAGATGCCAAGGAGGCGGGGATGCGATCGAATAGGGTCGAGACAGGATGGGGCCAGGGAGAACTTGAAGCCAAGCAGTGGGCTTCAGGAGAAACCGGGCAGTTGCTGGGAAATCGGCCAGCACTTCAATTACCTTACGCCTAGGGCGGTAAACATAGTCGAAAAGATCTTCAGCATCATTCAAGTCTAAAATTGCTTTTGAGAGCTCCACAAGTCTATCATATTCCAAGGGCAATCGAGCTCGAAGCTCATTTGAACCTGAGTCGACGGAATCATCCTCTTGTTGAATATGCGAAATGTGATGTAATGAGGCCAGAGAAGAAAAAAAACTAGAAGAAGGAATAGAATTCAAGTCTAAAAAGTGATTAGCTAGCCAGGAAAGACTGACTGTTAACGTCCTCCAAGAGGGCCCAGTCATTGGGTGGAGTGAGAAGAGTGCTGAGATTGGGAAGTTGGGATTTTGTTGTGAAATCCGAAGTCTAGTTCCAGGAGAACATGATGTAAGTTCAAAAAGCAGAACAACGTCATCCGGGTGATTGCATGGCTGTATATTAACAACATCACCAGGTTGATAAATCAAGCTCGAATCAAGTGGTTCAGCTATATACGAATGAGAAAGATTGGAATAATGAATTGACACGAATGGTCTTCATTTAAAAAGAATGTTATGATTATTCAGAGATGAATCGTGCATGAATAGACAAAAAGGTAATTAGACATCCTAATTAGCAAAATCGTATCTACTGGTGTTGTTGCCCAAACATATTATAAAGGCAACTAGGAAATATTAGTAAAGCCGGTAAATAAATATATATGCCTAAAGAAATTTGTGACAGGATATATTCCTGGAAAAACATGTGGCTAAACTGGAGCCCCAGAGTCAAACGATTGACCTATCAGTAGCTTAGTGGAGCTAGGATCTTTTACTAAGAATAAATCAGGTCGGACAACAACCCTTAAAAAGGAGAGTAATGAAATGAGCAAATGAGACAAAACCGAGCGTAACGTTAGTGACTAGAAATAAACTGTACAACATGCATAAGTGTGATACATAATAGGTAATAAGTAAATTTGAATCCTAAGGCAAAAGTAAAAACAAAGTTGGCAAAGGCGTTTGCTTTGAAGCCATCAGGAGGTTGATTAT